AGGGAGGGCTGGGTGGCAGAAGGGAGGGCAGGGGACAGGCAATTGCAGTCGGGATCTGTCCCCACACCTGAAAGAAGCAGAGAGAAGAGAGGGCCGTGGGGTCAGCAGCCTCCAAGAGGGGCAGAGCCAGCAGGTTCAGGCTCAGGGGCAGCGTCTCCGTCCTTCCCCACAAGCGGGACACGCAGATTCCCCCTCCCCCAAAATGAAGAGAGAGCGGAGGTGAGGCAGGGAGCAGGCAGGGACAGACGTGGTGGCACAGAGGTGACAAGCAGGGGCAGGATGGAGCAAAGCCACATCACCGGGTGCCCCAGCCGGCAGCAGCGGGGTCATCCACAAGGGCAGGAGCCGGGCACACGTTTAACGTCCACCGTGGCACAGAGACACGGACATGGCTGGGACACACGGACGGCAGCCGGACGTCTCCTCGGCGGGCATGCAAACACAGCACGGGCGCTTGCCAAAGCACGGGCTCTTCCACCCTGGTGGGCAATGCTCTCCCCAGGGAAACTGAGGCACGGGGCCAGCTGAGGTGATATAGCCAAGGTCATGCAGGGCATCAGTGGCACAGGGGTCCCGGCTCCTCGATTTCTCCGTGTTAACGCTCAACCCGGGCACTGGGGCTTGGAGACGAAGCTGAGCCGGATGCCTCCAGCCGATGGAGACGCCTCCTTATTCCTCAGCACCACTCTCTGGCCTTGTTTCCACCAGGATTCAGCCCAAATCCCACCCCCAAACGCTGGCCAGCCACTTCTTGACCCAAACACAGAGCTCTGACACATCGCCAAGGCCACCCCGCGGGGACGGCCACCAGCCGAGCGACACAGAGGGGGACCAACGCAGACACGGGCTGTGCCCACGGCGCCCGCGTGTGCCACGGACGGGCACGCACGGCTCTCAAGCTGCTCCATGCAGGCGTGCCCAAGCCCCGCACGGCTCAGGGTCTCACCTGGGGAGGATCCGGCTTTTTTGGGGCCCACGCAGGTCCTGCGGTAGACGTGGCTGCAGTCCCTCTCGAAGGTCTCCTGGTTCTGCAGCAGCTGGTTGATGTCCTGGAAGAACTGCTTCACAAGCACCAGCATCTCGTACGGGGAGGTGGTGAACTCCTCGAAGCACATCTGCGAGAGCTGGGGGAAGAACCGGGATCAGCATCGGCTCCATGACAGCGCCGGGCACCCGGTGTCACCACCACGGGGTGCCACAGTGCACCCAGGGAAGGCTTTGCCCCCTCCATCGCACCCCATTCGAGGTCCTGCCCTCCGGATGCTCTGCACACCCAAAGATGAGGGCTTAGTCTCCCCATCCCAATAGATGTGGTGCCCCAGCGGGATGCCGTACCCTCCTCTCCTCCTCCTCCTCCTCCCTGATGCAGGGGTCGACGTTCTCGTCGATGCGGCTGTACATCCTGCGCACCATCTGCATCTTCCTGGCGTTGGGCGAGTTCTCCTTGAACTCCGTCCGCTCCAGGATCTTGCCCAGCAGTGGAAAAGCGGCTTTCACGTAGCAGACGGAGTCGTTCTGCAAGGAACACCCCCCAGAACAAGTGAGATTGGGTACAGGATGGGCAGAGGCAGCACCACCCAGCCCACTCTGCTTGGGGGAAACTGAGGCACAGAGACATAACGTGCCTTCCTACGGTGCTGCGGGATGCCCAAGCTGGGACTCGACAGGGCAGGATGGGTCCCTCCCGCAAAGGGGGACAGAATAGGGGAGCATGGGGACATGGGGACCCCCCTGTGCATCAGCCAGCCCTGGTCCCTGTCCCCTTTTGTCCCCCGGTGCTCAGCGTGGAGCCACTCACCAACAGCGTCTTATTGATGAACTTGAAGGAGACTCTGCCCGGGTGCTGCATCTGGGTGTCAGCCTGGAAGGAGAGAGCAGGGAGTCACCCCACGGGGACAACGCAGCGGGAAGGGGCAGCGGAGCCAAAACCAGCACCCTGAGAGCATGAGGGGGTGCCTGAGCCCCCCAAATCCACAGGGTTAGGGGGGTTCTGCTCCCACCATCCTCCTCCTCGCACAGACACTCCCCTAAGGCCAAACCTCTGCAGGGATGAGCCCAGGACTCCCCTCCCCCGCAGTGGGGATGCCTGCTCCTACTCCCCCTCTCTTCCTCCTCCTCTTCCTCTTCCTCCCAGCCCCGCTCAATTCTCCCCCCTCTACTCTGCAGAAGAGCATCCTGCCACGCCGGAGGTGGCCGTGACACCCAGGTCACAGCATCACCCAACGCCAGGGTCCCCCACGCCGCCACCCTTTCCGATGGGGGTAAAAACCCACCCCAAACAAGCCCCTGGTC